TCCTCCTCCTCCTCCTCCTCCCCCTCCCTCCTCCTCCTGCCTCCTCCTCCTCCCCTCCTCCCCTCCTCCTCCTCCTCCTCCTCCTCCTCCTCCTCCACCACCACCTCCCCTCCCCCTCTCATCCTCCCCTCTTCCTCCTCCCCTCTTCCTCCTCTTCCTCCTCCTCCTCCCCTCTTCCTCCTCCTCCTCCCCCTCTTCCTCCTCCTCCTCTTCGTCCGTCTCTCCGGGGGCAGGCCGGGTCGTGACCTGGCAAATAGGGCAAATACCGCCTTAGAATATCATTGGCTTGATCTGTAATAGTTCTGACGGTATTCGATAAATCGTGAAGGGTGTCACGTGTGGGGTCACCGGTGGCTTGATCTGCAGCTTTACCTGCGGGCCGGTGTGGTGCGGGTCTGTCGCCATGCCCACCACCGCTGTGTGAGCCGGGGGAGAAGCTGGCAATAAAATCAAGCATAACGCGATCTCTGGCTGTCGCTTGCCTCTGTCCCTCCCGAATGCTTTCTTCTATCCGCTCCACTCTGCCTGATAATGCTTGAAGTCCGGCTATGAACTCGGATAGGTTAGGAGTAGTAGTAGCCTTGGCTGCTGGTGCTGGTGCTGGTGCTGCTCTGGCCGGTTCTAGTTGCCTTGCGGTTTCTTGTAACTAAGCTACTATTAGCTTCCTCAACAAGAGAGGGGTGAGCTTAGTTACCAACCCTAATTACTAACGATAGTTGTCGTTCGCCATCGGGGAGTCTATTAAGCTCGTCGATCATGGATTGAAAAGAGTCCGGACTATCCACCGCAACCCGGTTTTGGGCACCAGATTGGGGAAGGATGTAGGTTAAGGAATCTGAGGTACCAAGCCAGTGGGTAACAAGGCTCGAAAAAAAGTTCCAGTTCATGTAGTCCATAGAACTTGCTACGACTGTAGTGATAGGCCCGGCTACAGCGTTATTGCTGTAGCCATCGAATCTAGTTGCAGTTATCCTAACAGTGCGAGTTGCGGCCTAAGTACCATTCGGGGTGATATAAGATTAGCAGGTGATACTTATATTTTGAGATGAAATAGAGGGGCAAGACATACTTGATCTGTGCTATCGACTTCGAGACTTCGGCGGATAACTACACGTATTGCGGGGAACTCGTTTTCGGCTGCCGAGTAAAAAAGCCTTCGGAAGTCTGCGCGGGTTTGAAGAATTGTCGCGGGTCCGGGGGAGAACGTTGCACCTCCGAGATTTGCATAACCTCTGAACATTTGGTCCGTCGGGAAAGGCTCCGCGCTTAGCATGAACGTGTTCCAGTCGCGGGTAGGCTCCTGGGGTCGCTCGTATAGAAAGTTTCTTGTGTAGAATTGTATAGCGGTCATCCAAGTCATCGGCTGTTCGATGGCGATATATCCCTGCCTTTGCTCAACCGGTAGATCATACATCTGCGAGTGGAATGCCAAGTAATCACTTTGGCTAGTGAAAGGGGTTGGATCGACGCCTGTCATCCGGTAACTCAGAGTAGAGGCCGGAAAGAACTCTCTCTGACTCTGCAGATAGTTTCGGATCGCAAGATAGCTAGAATTATGCTCCGTAGGTAATAAAAACGTGCTCCCTAACATGCTGATAATGTTGATAATGAGAGTTGTATCTCCGCTGTTAAGGTCGGCCCTGGGTATCTCCTCGGGAATTTGCATCGTCCTATTGTCACTGGAGGGCCGTACTAGATGCCTGATCGGTTGTATGGGCTCCGTGACAGTTTGTCCCATCGTGGGCAAGAATGGAGTCCCTGTCTGGGCGTTCATTCGGGCTACACGTTTTAGAGGTCTTGTACGTCTGCCCCGATCGACTAACCCCTCCTCGTCTTCTTCTGAGGATGAGTAGTGGTAGAATCGCTTCTGTTTGCGAGCTCTAACCCCATATCTTTCCTCTCCATCTACCCTTCGTTCATAAGGCAACGAATCCTCACTATCCGAATATCCAAGGTAGTCCGGCTGCTTACTGATGGCTTGTTGGTATCTCTGCTGCTTCTCCGCCCACTTAGCATTGAACCTATCCATTGCCAAGGCCAGACTAGTCGGGTTATCCTCAATGGCTGGCACCTCCAACTCTTGGTCCCGGGTATTGTGCATCGGTAGAATAAGGGGGCCTTGTGTGAGAAGACTAGCTCTCGTTAGTGTTAGGGCGGCACCCCGTCTTGTTGAAGCGGTTCGCCATCTTCCAGCAGCTTGCCGGGCAAGAGATCGTGCCATCCAAATCCAGAGTTGGTCGTTTATCCTTATATATGACACGTGAGGTAACCGGATTGTATCAC